TTTTGGGGCTATTCTGTATACCCCGGTCTTATCACTCCGGGCACATTTAGGGCGGGCGGTCTTCACCCCCCAAAATCCCCCCAGCGGGAGGGGTGGGCGGGGGAATTCTGAGAGTTGAAGTCCACCCATCTTAAAGTGGCCAAGGTTGAGAAACACTGTTCTAAATATTGAACGCCAAAGATTGCAACTGCCTCTCCTTGATGAATGTTGGAAAAGGCAGCAAACAGACCCAGAAGGAGGCATATGGAATGAAGGAGCATTCCAGTTCTGTCCCACGGAAAGTCTCAGCACCCTTCATGACTGCCTCCCATTCTGGATGAAGCCGTTTCTGCTCCAACAGAAATGGCCTACTTTGCTTTTAAAGCCACCCAAACTGCTGGTTGTCCTTACAACCACAGGCGACGGGATGGTGATAAAAGAGGAGTGGGGCTTCAACGATGTGTTTTTAGCCACCATCTGGACTCCCCACCCCCCCATGGAAATACTCCTCTTTTCATCTGCCCTGCATGACCCGATTCCTAGGATCTTGATGTCTCCCAGTCCATATTCTCTGCATTTAGCATCATATTACGGTCATTATCGTTCCTTGCCTCATCCATTTTTTCTAAATGCAAAAGGCCCCAATGAATGTGATTTCTCCTCCTTGAGGGGCTATTCTAGCCCTTCTTTTTTTTTTTTCATCCCGTTCTGCCTCTTTCCCTGCTCTTTAATTCCACTGCTCTTTTGGGACCCAAAGGGCACCTCGTGTAAGAACTGCGGTACTCAGTTCGTCTTCCAAATGCGTGCACATCACAGCTGAGTACCGAGGCATTAATGACACTGGTGCTTTTATTTTCCGCCCCTTCCCTGACGACCCCCAACACGAATTTGTCTTTTGCACAGCATCTGTCTCCTGAGCGCCATTTTCCCCACTCTGCAAATTTCAAACTTCTGCCTGCTTTTTTGAGAAAATTGCCCAACTCAGAAGCAAAGTGTCCATTCAGTGCCAGCCTCCACCTTAACGGGAGCGGGCTCCTTTTCGTACATTACATAGAGAAATGGCTAAAACATTTCTCTGGCTCAGTTTGTCCCTCTTTTCCACTTAGGTCCGACATAAACACAGCTAATGGAGTCTCCTTAAGCCTTCCTCATCCACTGGGCTCTAATAATTTCTCTAGCATGACCTCCTGGCCAGGAACGAGAAGGACCTTCAGGCGTTGTCATGCGATGCCTTCTCTGTCTCTTGGCAACAGGGCGATTTAGCAGAGAAGCCTCCTTGGGCACCATCACCAAGAGCAAAGGAAAGCAGCCATTCTGTGCTAAATTAACATGGAGCATTTCCCCCCCCCCAGAGCATTATTATGAGTGGGGGGGAGGAAAGAGAAGCAGACAGAGATCTATGAAAGCTTTTGGCAGCCAGTTTTCAGAGAGAAGGACTCAAACATTCACCAAGAGTGAATTTTCCGGAAAAGGATTGAAGAAAACAACCTGTGCCAATGGCGAGGGCCGTTCGTCTGGGTCAAAGAGGGGATCAGAGCCACGTAGCTGTAGCAGCCACCCAAATCCTGAAATTCTGCCCCAAAGGAAACCCAACAGCCCCTAAAGAAAATCGGCTTAGGGACGTAAATGGTCTGAGCAGCCACAGCAGAGCTGATGGCAGTGCTGAAGAGAGACGAGCGCATTCATGCACACACCCGCCTTTGCAGAGTCCGGCACCGTTCATCAGCCCAGTTTCTTTCTCTTGACTGGACTGAAATAAATGCCCCCACCCCCATAGCAGTTTGCCTCTTCTAATTTTTATGATCCAAAATAACCCCATGATAAAAACCTTGCATTCAATCCTGGCAATAATGTTTCCATTATTAGGATTAATTTAATTTAATGCATTCGGCTTAGGCTACTGACATGTTGCCGTCAGTTATTAGGTGGGCCAGTTTTGTTGATGGCTTTTCTTTCATAAGCGAGCCATAAATGTATACTCAGCTACCCTCACCTGCAGGATAAATAAGAATACTAAATGTCCCCAAGAGATGGAGTCGCTTGGACGATATTCCAAACAAGGTCTAAGGGCAGAGTTCTGGTCTAAGTTCTTAGGTCTAGGATACCCAACCTGGTGCCTAGGAGCACCAGGCGTGCCCATACACACCGGCTTTGGTGCCCACCAAGTTTCTGGCTGCATTTTCAATTTTATATTAAGTGGGGGGCAGAGAAATGGCTTCTTCCAACATCACTTGTATTTCCAAGGATGCCACTGGACTGCAAATGGATCCTGAATTTTTTTCCTGAAAGGAAAAAAATGGTTGGGGGGGCAAGGGGGGAGAAGACAGAAAGGGGGAGCAGAAATATATGGGGAACTCAAGAGAGTGGAGAATGGAAAGGCACCCCGGCAGCCACTTTGACAGAGCACCTATATCTTGCCCCCATCGTAAAAAGATTGGAAAAATCCATCTGAATTCCAGAAAAAAATCCTCTTGGTTTATGTTGTCAGTAGCATTTCTTGAACGTGGTTTCCCCCTTCCCAGTCATTTAGGGTTAAAAAAAAAAAAAGGGCCACTCTCCGCGAGGCAAACTGTATAAACGAGACGGGATCCGGGGATGTAATCAAGCCCACGGCTTAGAACTTGAAAACTTTTTCACAGCGTTTCAGAACAAAAACAAGAAAGAAAAGAGGCGAGTTTGTGGAATTCAGGGTGACGGAGTTGCAGCTGGAAAAGAAACAGCGGGTTGCCTGCAAAGTCTTGCGCACGGGGGGAGGGAGGGTGTGTTGGGGAGGGTGTCAAAATCTGCAAGATGGCAGTTGTAGTGTCACAATCACCATCTGGCAGATTTCGACACACACACACCCCGTGATGCTCCTGCTTGAGTGCACAGATGTCTTCGGCAGCAGTCAGGGGTTGGGGCTCCTTGATCCCAAGCCCCCTCCCCTCCAAAATAAGCCCACATGTTTTGCCTCGTGATCCCCTTGGAGCAACCCATTCCCTCTTCCCTCCCCCTTGCAATCCTTTTGGGAAAGGGGGCCCGTTTTTACCTCTCAAACAGCTGAGAATAGGAGGAAATGGCCTTCCCTGTCAGGCCCTGCTTGGCCAAACGCTGCCTTCGCTTCAGAGACGCCTCTTCCTGGAGAGGGAACACAGTTAGTGGGGATCAGCATGGGCTTCGGGCACAAGCCAGGTTGGGGGATGTGAGTTCTGCAACCAGTCAGCCATGGTGAGGTTAGTGCATCCAGGAGGTCATTTATCCCCTCCCGGGGGACAGCCATCGGCGTTCGAATAGTCACACAAGGGGCGGAGGGTGGGGGTAGTGCCAAGGAGGAACCATGAAAGAGAATCACCCTTCTTGGCTTAACTTTGGGGAATGGTCTCAGCTGAGAGCTCTTGTGATTTCCTCAAAACCCCTGCATGGAGAACTGTAGAGTGAAGCCTCCCCATCTTCACTAGGTGAAGGTGAACTCAGAGCCCTGTCCCCTGATGTGACCCAGTGTTCTGTGAGTGGTAGGCAATGCTGTCTTCACCATCATCAATTTATATGTGAAGGTCTTTTCCTGGTGAAAACCAGGAGCTGAAGAATCACAGGGATTCAGATGGTCAACAATAATCAACAATGAAACAATTACTTCTTCAAGGAACTGTGGGCAAAATATATTGCCCCCACTCCCCCCACCCCAAGTTTTACCCATACAACAACCCAGTAAGGCAGTGTTTCTCAACCTCAGCAACTTTAAGATGGGTGGACTTCAACTCCCAGAAATGAGTTGGGGAGGCTGGGGAATTCTGGGAGTTGAAGTCCACCCATCTTAAAGTTGCTGAGGTTGAGAAACACTGCAGTTAGGTATAGGAGGCAAGGTATAAGAATGGCTCACCAATTTGAGCTTGGCTTCCCTTACTTCACATTAGCAGGATTCAATGCATCTTACGTGCAATTGCTATTTGAGTTTCCTTCTTGGAAACAGCTCTTCTGCTTTTCTCAAACCTGGTAGACCAAATGAAGCTCCTGAACCTTCCTCTGGGCATGAAGCCAGCTGACTGCCTCTTTCTCGCAGATGAGAATCCTGCAGAAGGAACAGAGGCAGGATGCCTCCCTCCCCGGTCACATACCTCTCGACACATCAAAGAAAGCCTTTTGCTAACTGGGGGGTAGCGGATCAGCTTGCGGGTCCTCTTCTCCATCTGGAGGGGCACCTCTGGACATCGGAGGATGGGGCCTGACCGTCCTAGCAAGGAGATGGGATGGTCTTCCCGGCAGAGCCTGCAGGCCTCCAGAGCTGAAATTCCGCATTATGAAACCATCGCTCTAGAACGCTCTTCCCTCCCCCACTCCATCAGCTTCAGCAGGATTTCTCTGCTGGCCGGCCAAAGAGTTCATTGGAGGAGAGTCTATGCATTAGTCTACGGGAGCAAACTATCAGAAGAAGTCTGGCAGCACCTTTTCTGACTAACTGTTTTCTTTTAAGGCATCAACTTAACTTATGCAAGAAAAAAAAGTTAGTCAGAAAAGGTGCTACTGGACTCCTGATTTTTCGCTACCAAACCATTTAAAATGCATGCAGCGAAACTGCCAATCGCTCTTTTTTTGGACTGCTGCCTTCCCAAAGACATTGGGATCTTCTGTATACAAAGCAGGGACCTTCTCGTTTGACTGTGGCTCTTCCCCTGAAGCATAATCCATGGATCCATTATAAAAGCTTCCTGCCTTGTGTCAAGTCAAACAATCGGAACCAAGGAATCCTTTCCAACGGCTTGGCATCCTTGAACTGGAGACCTTGAGGATTCACCACTGACACCCTCCCCCAGCTCTTTGCAGCCTGGGATCAAAGGGGCTCCTCATGATGAGCAAGGGAAGAAAAAAACCTTCTACTTTGGGGGGCAAGTTGTATTTCCCACAACGGGGGTACGCAAGTCAAATGCAATCTTGAATTCCAATTAGGAGATATGGGACACTGCTCTGCTTTTCGTCTCTTGCCAAGGCTTGCCTGCCAAGGATGATATGAAGAGGAGGCATATCGAGAGGAGAATGCATTTTCAAAAGCTAAGAAGAATCATCCCCCCACTACAAGTCCATGAGATACAAGCACCTTCATTGGGCAAGTCAGGTTTGTAAGGAGACATAACGCAAGGAAACAGTTGGACTCCAAGGGGTGGAGCTACACTCATGGTGCACCATGTTTTCACTGAAATCAGTGGGATTCAAGTCAAGTCCTGAGTTCACTTTATCCCACTGATTTCAATGGGAGAATGACACACTCATCAGGTCACTTAATGACATTTGTAGAACGTGAGTCTTTGTTAGCTTTAAGATCTTCTTCTTTCTTCGTGGCTTTGTGTGATGTGTAAACCCAGCTCATTTGATGTGTTTCTGGTCCAGTATATTGCATGAACCCAAAAAATGGGTCAGGTGAGGAACCAGATTAAATGTACTATAGGAATGCAAGTCAATAAGGCTGCAATTCTGTTCAATCTTCCTTTGTTAGACCTGCATGGGCTGTACTGTTGGCCTGGATCTTGCCTAAAAGTCTGTCTCTTGATCAATCTTCTCTCCAGAGAAAACCATGGCAGAGCCAGGCCCAGCTCCAGGAGCTATTCCACAGCTTGATTTTCCTTTCAGGTCAAGTTGCTCCCGGCCCTGGTTCTGTGACCAGACAGGGAGCTCTGCCCGATCTGTCCGGCATAATGGCTGCCTTCACACCACCAGACTTGGGGATGGAACCCTCAACTAAGCAAGCAAACTGGGTGTGTGCAATACCCAAAGCTACACACACTAACCAAGATTAGCCCTAGCCAATTTTAGCATGGCATGCAAATGCAGCTACCAGTTGAAGGAACTTAGCTTATAAGTTCCTTGTTTATTTGCTGTTTTTAGGAGTTTAAGGCAACATACATTGCCTCAAACTCCTAATTCTTATTTTATTTTTCTTCCACAACAGCAGCCCTGGGAGACAGGCTGGAATGAGAGAGAAGGACTGACTCAAAATCACCCAGGAGGTTCTTACCAGTTATAGTCCAGCACGTTCACCTCTTTTAAGTCTTTTTTCCCCTCTTGGAGAATCATTATTTTTGCCCTAATTCTTGCACTCAGCTGAAAGACAATCCCAAACTCCAAAGAACCAAACTGCCCCCTCAGCTCCATTTATGAAAGATATAGCCACTTCCAATGATTTCTTAAAAATGCAATGATTGGCTTAAAAATTATAAATAGCCAATGTCATGGTACTGCTGCCAATAGCCATGACAAAAATGTAACATCTGGTGAATACATTCAAAAGGCTTTCCAGAATTCTCCAGGTCTGAATGGGCTTCCAGAGGATTCTTGGAGGTGTCAAGCCAGTCCCATCTAAAACCACGCACACCAAACGGATTTGCAAATCTTATGCCTTCCTACTGTAAGGAAGGAGTGTCAGTTCTCAGGACAAGTCCCATTTTTCCTGGAATTTCTTTGCTAGAATTATTGAACCCATGGAACCGGGGAGGAACTGCTTTTCTTCTAGGTGAATCATCTTTGGAAATCAATCTGGGCTTGCCTTCAAAGATAGATGCTTGCAAGTGTCCAGTTTGGTTTAACACGACGTTGTGTTTCATCAGTAACAAGAACATGTTCTGCTCCCTTTACTTACCACTGGTGTCTTCTGTGCTGAAAGTTTGGCTGATATTCTGGCAGAGTAATTTTTGGCTGAGGAGTCCAAAAATTCATTGGGAGTAGGTGATGGTGCGACACCATCAGTCCCTTTGACATTGTTTACTTTCAGAGTTGCAGGAGATTCCTTGTTGGGAGCTAAAAAGAAACAGCAGATAACCTTATCCAGAATGGTAAAAGAGATTTTTGGCTGGTCAACCAAAGAAAATTTCACCCGTACAGACTTGGTGTTCTTACTCTAGTATCCAAGCTATTAAATGAAGAATAATTGCCATATATCTGCATTAAAGGAGGGATGGTCTACTGCTCAAGAATCTCCATTCCACCAAATGAATTACCCCTTGCCACTTTATTCCATATTTACCATTTTCAGTATTAGCAGTAAATCCACCTAAATGGATTCCTTGGTGCTCTCTGAGCTTAGTTGTTTGCTTGCAGACTTTTCATGACCCAACATCATCAGTGCCCTCGAGGGAGTGTGGGGTTTTCTCCCTGTTTATGTACAGTCGCTTGCCCTGCCAGTGTTGGCGGGGGCGGGGAGGGAGGTGGTTTCCTCCTTGGTAGCTCCTTGATTAGGCTCTTGTTTTCTGCTTGCTTGTTTGTCTGGTGTTAATCCCTGCTTATCTGGGTGTTGGCTGCTGGAGAGGATCTATCCTGGTCTTTTTGTTTCCTTCTTAGCTTTCTTACCTCTTTTGAATGGTGTGTAAATATGGTTTATTTCTATGTGTCTATTGATGGCTTACTTGTCTGAATGCCAAGCTTCCAGG